GGGAAGCAGCCGCATAGCACAGGGAGATCAGCTCGGTGCTTTGTGACCACCTAGAGGGGTGGGATAGGGAGGGTGGGAGGGAGACACAAGAGGGAGGAGATATAGGGTTATATATATATGTATAGTTGGTTCACTTTGTTGTAAAGCAGAAACTAACACACCATTGTAAAGTAATTATACTCCAATAAAGATGTTAAAAAAAAAAAAAAAAGAGCCCAGTAAGGAGAGTCTCAGCAAACACCTGGGCAGATGGACAGCCTTGAAGAGTTGCTGTACCCTGTCATGCATGGGAGCACCCAAATGATTTCTGTGTCCCCGAGAGTAGCGGGGAAGTCACAGAGTGGCCCTCCAGACCTGAAGGAGTCATACAGCTGGGATCTAGGGACACCTCCACAACACCCTGCCTGGCTGATGTTCAAAGCCCAGTCCAAGTGACTGCCATCGCTGTGGGTGTCAGTGTGAGCAGACGGTACCAGGGACTATGCACCCCTCGCCCACTCCTTAAGTCCCCAAGAAAAGGAGAGAACAGAAATCCCCAAAGCCATTAATGGCATCTTCTCTATGCCAGGCACTTGTTCTAGGCACTTGTATTATAGCAATAAATAAAACATTAAAAAAAAAAGAAAAGACTCTGCTCTTCTACTGCAGGGGGCACAGGTTCGATCCCTGGTCAGGGAACTAAGATCCCACGTGCCGTGTGGTGTGGCCAAAAAATAAAATGAATAAATAAATAAAACGAAATAGAAGGAATAGCTGACCTTTGTGGCAATTTTCCTGGTTTTGTGATAGTAATTCTGTTCAGTTCCTGAACTTAGATGACAAGTCCTCTTAGTGAGGCTGGCCTAATTCTATGTTCTCTATGGCACATAGTCACTATGACTGTGCAAGGGCCATTATTACCCAAAGTACCATAATAATGGACATGTCCTCCTATGACGTTATTGTTTCCTATCTTCCAGGACATTAGTTGCCTTCTAACTTGCTCTAAAATTGGTAGGTAGGACACACTGCCAAGACTAGAGAGAAGAAAGCTGCTGGTAATATATTAAAAAGCTGGGTAAAGGACTTACTGCTACCTCCTTCTCATTGGAGCGTCTTCACATTTACACGTTACTTCTTTTGTTATGGGATGTTAGTTCAGCCTTGCCTTTTGTCTTGGATTCCGTCTTATCATGGTCAATGTCTGATCTTTCCTTCAATTGAATGATTCAGACAACTCTGAAGTTATTTTGGCTTTTCCACTTTCCTTTTACAGGCTTTTTATGAGTCATTGAATTGAAGGGGAGGTTATTTCTAAATTGGAAGGTGAGGATGAGAGAAGGGGGAGGAAAGTTCCGGAAAATAACTGGGAAAAGACACCTTATTGTTATGTAGAGTTGCTGGAGGAATAATTTCCGCTTAGTTTGGTGATAGAGGTATGTAGTTTATTTAAACCTGACTAAAAATATATGTTAGAAAATAGACAATTTTTTTTTGGATAATGAACCATGCAGTTTTAAACTCCTTGTAGCTTGCTGGAACAGGATATAAGGGTAAATAGAAGAGATGGAACAAAGAGTTAGTGGGAATAAGAAAGGGGCAAAGTCCAGATTCTTGGTGCCACAGAAAGTCCCCAACCACTAAACGGATGCTTAAGAGGGAAGTACCCTTGACCTGTCCCAGTCCATTCCTGAGTGTATGTTTCATGACCCACAGGTTTGTGTATGCTAGGTGGAACTGTGAGGAAGGTACATTTAAATCTGATTCAGAAATTGAAAGAACAATTAGGCCAGCATTTTGCTATTTAGGAGCAGGAAAAGGGGTGGAAATGAAAAAGAAATGCAAAAAACTAATGATGGATATATTTCTAGGAGCGCAAGAGTTTTTATAGCAACACCAAATTTCTCAAAAGTGTCTACTGTGATTTGTACCCAAATGAGTAAAAATGCAATCATTTATTCTTGTGCATTGTGCCAATATGCGAAAGGAACTGCAGTCTTTCAATGGTCCTAATTTAGACTGCTTAGGAAGAGGAGAGGTTTAGAAAAAAAGACAAGTTTTTAAGTATCTGACACACAACTAGTAGGGCTATTTAAGAACTGCTGAGCATAAAAATCAAGTTGCGGGAGCCGAATTCTCTTGTCCAGAGCATCACAAGGGTAAAATATGGCCCATTTAGTCCAAACTTGCTGTTGGTTGCCCGGTCACTTCGCAGGAGCCAGCCAGGGGTGAGTCTGGAAGCTGGAGAACCCTCAACACGCCACTTCAATTTATTAACTGCAACCAAAGTGGACTGACCTCTGCAAAATAAACGGTTGTGCTTTGCCCTTTAGCATGGAGACTTCTGGAAAGAACGTCAAGGAAACTGGGCATCTTAGGACCTCAAGAAGGGGAAATTTTAATCTGTACACTGCTTTTCTCTCAAGGGGTTGTAAATGATTTTTAAACACAACCTCTGATGTTGCTGTTTTGTAAGTACTACCCTCTGGGTAAGCTAGCAGTGATAAGCTTCTCCTTATAGGGAGGAAGTTGGAGAAAGGGACGAGTTTCCAGAGTACACTCTACCACAAAGAGTTAACCCTTCCCCTCGGACGTGAGCGTCGGCCCCTTGCTTTCTACTGCGCAACCAAACTGTGCCCAAGCTAGAACCAACCATAGCCGTCACATACTTTGCCAATTGACTTAACAGACACTTTCGGCAGCCTATCAGAACTTTGAACTGCCCAACCATCAACCAATTACAACTAAAGCTTGGTCTAGGACGCTCCAGGTCCGGGAGGGGGGGGTAATACCGGGTCAGGAAAAGGGGTGGGAAGGAAGCTTTGACGGACGGGTAAACTAAACCAATAAGAGCAGAGAGCTGCCGCCCCACTACCCAATGGAGAGATAGGAAGTGTGAAGCGGGGTGGGCCTGTTGTCATGGGGGAGGTGGTGGCGCTAGGTGGCTACTGGCGCCCGAGGTAGAGGCAGTGGCACTGGAGTTGGCCGCGGGCAGCGGCAGGTGAGTACTGGTAACGCGGACCTAAGGTCTGGGGGCAGTCGCGGGGCGGAAACTCCAGCTCGGCGCTCCTGAGGCGGAAGCCAGCGGACGGGGGCCTGGACTGCGGGCCGGGTCGGGCCCCGGTCGGGGCCAGGGCGGGGGCGGCGGCGGCGGCGGCGGCGAGTTCGCGCTGACTGGGCTGGTGGGAGAGCAGCCCGGCTCCTGGCGGCGGAGTTCGTGGTGGCAAGGTAGGCTGGGGCCAGACCCAAGCGGGTCAGGCCGGGAGGTCCCTTGGGACGCTTAGCTGCGCGGGTCTGGGGCACTGCCCGGCGTCCGGTGTGTGAGGGGTAGGTCCTTGGGGAGACGGGGGTGTCTGGGGTCCCAGAGAAAGGGGTGACCCGGGGTGACCGGTTACGACCTGGTCCGCGGGCCAGGTGACTCGGGAATACCCAGGACAGCTTGGGTGCGAGGAGGAAGGGGAACCCGGGAAGCCCGGGAGCGGCCCGAGAGGAGAAAGCTGGGGGGCCGGGAGACTGGGAGTGGCCCGGGTCCGAGGGAGAAGGGAGGCCGAGGGCGGCCGGGGTCTCAGCGAGGGCGTCGAGGAAAGGCAGGGAGGCACCTGAGGATCCTCCTGAGAAAGGCGGCCATCCGAGAGAGGAGCGCTCTTGGGGTTCTTGGGGAGCTTTAGAGTGTCGGACCCGTGGAGACCTTGAATAGCTTGGGGAGGAACGGGAGCGCCCTGCCCCCCACCGCTGGTCTGGGATGGGAAATTCAAGACTGGCCTGGGAACCCCTAGGTCTGAGGGTCCCCAGGAAACCAGGGTTTTGAAAAAAGTTTTGGAGGGGTAGCTCGGGTTTGAGACTGTGGTGAGGGGTTTAGCTGAGGAATGGAAGTTCTCTCAGTTGGGGATAAGTCAAGCAAAATGACACGGGGGTGGGCGGGAGAAGTTGTTTCCTTGTAGGAAGGGAGTGGGAGGTAGGGTGTAGTAGGAGGGAGCGAGAAAGTTGCTCAGGAAGAGACTAGTGGTCTTGTGGAAACTGGCCGGAACAGTAGATATGAGAAAGTAACCCTTAATAGGTTCTAAGGACTTCAGAAATAGTAGAACCTTCAGCTTCATAACACTAAGATGCCATCTAGGACCAGAGAAAGGGTTCTAAAAGCAAGGTTGTGACTTACATTCCAATGCTTTAGAAAAGAAATTTGTTTTAGGACGCGAGCAATAATGTTAGAAAATAAGGACATTGACAATATGGGGAATTTAAAAGGGGAAAAGGGGATAGCTGAACTAAAGGAGTGCGACCGGGGACTTAGAAAGAAGAGAGGCATGAAGAGAACAGGCTTAACTTTCGCCAAATTAGAAATAAATTTGAATTCTAGTTCTACCACTTAGCTTTGACAACTTAACCTCTCTCTGTTTGGAAGTTTCATCTGTGTAATAGGGATAACAATACTTCCTACTTCTTAGGGTTGCTTTTTCACATGAGTTAATATCTGTGGAACTTTTAGAATAGTGACTGGCACAAAGTAAGCACTGTACTGGATTATTAAATGTGTAGAGGATAAAGAAAGTCCTGAATTCTTTAATGCGTTGTTCTCAAACTTTAACTTAAACCAGAATCACCTGGATGGCTTGATAAACTGTAGACTGCTGGCTCCACCCAGAGTTTCTGATTCGGTAGGTCTGGGATGGGGCCTGAGAGTTTGCATTTATCTCAGGTGATGGCTTATGTTGGTCAGGGGAACCACTTGCTTTATTGAAAACAGTAATACTGTAGCAACCTTAAAATACTTGTCTACCCTGCTAGAGACGGGTAGAAGCAAATTGCAAAACAAAGATCCTAATAATGTATAAGGGATGCCGTATTTTAAGCCTGTGTTTTTCAAACTGTGGATCATGATTTATTAGTAATTTATAAAATCAATTTAGTGGGTTAAATTGATTAAAAATAAAATAGAATAAAAATAGAATAGAACAGAATTGACTACCATTGCACGTGACAAGGAAAAATATTGTTTTGGGAAATTTTGTTCATACATGTGTGTACTAGGTCACAATGTAAAATGTATTTCTTGCATTAAAAAGAGTTTGTAAAACTGTTTTGAGCCATGCAGTGCAGCCAAAGCAGCCCTTCAGTAGGGACATCCAGGTACTGGGTTTATTGTTTATTTATTTTTCTTTTTGTGGTAATTTTATCAGGTGGTGATACAGTCTATTAAATTTCTTCAGTTTCTGAATTGGTTTCTCCTGTGTTTGCCTTATCATACATTGTGTTGCGCTTCTTTTTAAATACTGAAAATCTTTAACAGGAGGACTAAAGGGAATTTGAGGTAGAGAGGTGAAATTGAGTGGTGTTTCTCAGATGTGGTCCACTTTTGTTTCACTCATGCCCTCTTGTTTACCTTTTCTTTTTTACCAGTATACTGTAAAGCACTGTCTGTATAAAACCTAAGTATACACAGATGTGTTGACAGTAAACAACCAACACAAATAGACTGGTTTGAGATCAGTTCCTGTATAGAAAGTAAGCAAAAACCAAATAAGACACATTTCAAAAGAGAAAAGCAAAAGGGTGTTTCCTTTTTAGAGAGTAAGGAATTCTGAAGTTTTCATGGCCTTAATACAAAATATATAATATAAAAGCATTTTTAAGGGAACCAGATATACTTGTGTATTTTAGATTTCTAGGTTTTTGAAGAGAGAAGACATAGTAATAATGCTCAGATGCACCTGGGATAGAGTTTTAACTACAAAGTAAATAGTTTATTAAGCAGGAGCTTTTGTTTTGATGGTTTTCTCCCTTGAGAATGATCTGGATCTGGCATAGAGTTGTAAATTTAACTTGTTTGAGGGACCCAAATGTAATCTATATACTTATTTTAAGCTATATTAAGAATATATATGTGTGTTTTGTGCTGTTCTTCGTTTGATTTTTCTTCTGTAAGACTAGATGGTTTATACTTAGAAAGAGTTGATTCATGTTTGTTTTAATGGATGTAAGGACAGAGAAAACAGTATTGAAAACTGAAAGAGATTCTTATAGCTCTCTTTAAAATCTTTAATCTAGGGGATTTATAACCCTTTCATTAATGTTTTATGAAATTGTGAAGAAACTTTTGGAGTAGCTTTGCATAAGGATTTTTAGATTTTTTTTCTCTCAAAAATAATTTTTAGTTCTATTTCATGTTTTTATTATATTTTTACAAAATTTTAATTTTTGTTTGGAAGACTATGATACATGTAATTATTTCATTTTTGAGTTGAAAAACATAAGCAGTCTTTTTATAAAACAAATTTACTAATTTTTGTGACAGAGGTTCCAAGGATGAAAGCTTTTGAATTACTTGCTTTGAGTTAAATGTAGTATCCCTACCACCAAAATGGTTAAGTCATTGTACAATTGATGGGCACTTTTGTATAGATCATTCAGTTCTTTTTTTTTTTTTTTTTTTTGCGGTATGCAGGCCTCTCACTGTTGTGGCCTCTCCCGCTGCGGAGCACAGGCTCCAGACGCGCAGGCTCAGCGGCCATGGCTCACAGGCCTAGCTGCTCTGCGGCATGTGGGATCTTCCCGGACCGGGGCACGAACCCGTGTCCCCTGCATCAGCAGGTGGACTCTCAACCACTGCGCCACCAGGGAAGCCCGATCATTCAGTTCTTTACTAACTGATGGAAGAATGTAAAATCTTAGTAATCGAGTGTGGGAAAAATATAAAATTCATTCGTCATAATTGTGGACATTAACTAGTTTGATTACTTACTTGCTTTTTAATGAATGGACTTTATTCAGTTGACTTATTATTCATCCATAATTTAATCATACTTATCTAGGAATATCTCTGATTGCTCAACCGTTTTTACAGTGAGATTTGTTAATTTGTAGTTGAAAAAATGGTGGTTTTTAAATCCCAGAGAAACTGCTCCTGATGGTACAATTTAGTGAGGCTCATTTTCCAGTTTCAAAGATTATTCAGGTAAATGGTTTTTAAAAGTGGAAGTTCAATTAACACTAGTTCATTAAGTTTATTTTCTATTTCAATAAAGTTTTGTCTTTTACACATCGCTTCTGATCTGCTTTCTCTGCTTCTTTCTCTTCAACTACTCATACAATAAATCCTAATGGAAATGTGCTGCCTGAAAATCTAGTTCTGTGAAAGTACAGAACCCCAACATCTGGTTTTTAGTTTGCTGGGAGAATTCCTTTTATCAGAAAAGGTCCCTTGGTAAACTTATTACCTTAAAAAAAGTCTTTTAATAGAGTACTTGGAAAGCTACATGTTGTTTTTTTTAAAATAAATAAATTTATTTATTTTTGGCTGTGTTGGGTCTTCGTTTCTGTGCAAGGGCTTTCTCCAGTTGCAGCGAGCGGGGGCCACTCTTCATCGTGGTGCACGGGCCTCTCACTGTCACGGTCTCTTGTTGTGGAGCACAGGCTCCAGACCCGCAGGCTCAGTAGTTGTGGCTCACGGGCCCAGTTGGTCCGCGGCATGTGGGATCCTCCCAGACCAGGGCTCGAACCCGTGTCCCCTGCATTAGCAGGCAGATTCTCAACCACTGCGCCACCAGGGAAGCCCGGAAAGTTACGTTTTATTTTGGACTTGCCCAAATACATGTATTGTGTTTAATAAATTTTGATTTCTATGGAATGGATCTTTAATTCTGCCAGTTTCTGAACTCTGATATATGTTTCCTTGGTGGGGCTAGGGAGAAAGGAAACAGTTGTACTCCTTAAATTTTTTTTGTTATATTATTTTTTATCTTGACATTATGATAAATCCTTTATTTGCAAAGAAATACAATTTTTTGAAAAGAAAGAAAAATTTATTTGCAAAGAAAATTTATATTCAGTAATATAATGTATTGGAAATCTCATTATTAAAGATGGAAATTCTATATAAGGCTTTAGGACGTTTGTTCAGATACGAGACACAGGTACTGATAAATAGGATGTCATTATCCTATTGCCATATATTTTTGAGAATATAAAATATGCACTTGTAAATCTTGGGGCAAAAGGATTGAG